GCTCTGGTCTAGGTCATCTGACTCCTTGGAGCGATGCCCCCTTTGCGCTGGGCTCGGAGGCCCCTGCACTGTTCCCAGGGTAGGGCCATGGTGCCCCCGGCAGTGAGCTGAGTCCAATCAGACACCTGCGGGAGCCTTCCCAGCAGCCCTGGAGATGCGGGCCTGGCCTGGCTGCCCATCCGCCCATCACAGGTGCATGGGCTCTGGTCTAGGTCATCTGACTCCTTGGAGCGATGCCCCCTTTGCGCTGGGCTCGGAGGCCCCTGCACTGTTCCCAGGGTAGGGCCATGGTGCCCCCGGCAGTGAGCTGAGTCCAATCAGACACCTGCGGGAGCCTTCCCAGCAGCCCTGGAGATGCGGGGCTAAGCCCCCAGTCCCAGCTGGGCCCCCACTCTCCCCACAGGCAGCGACAAGCCCCCCAGTCCTTTGGCGCCAGGCCAGGCCATGCTGAGTCCCAGGCCCCTGCTACCAGGGCTGGGGACCCCCAGAGGCTGCAGGATCAGGGCTGGGGCTCCCCTTGCTCTCTGGCCTCTCTGCTGGTTGGGGTCGGTGTCAGTTCTTGAGTGGCCCAGGCAGGTGGAGGCATTGTTTCTGCTCCGCACCTTGAGCAGCATTACCTGCTGTCCTGGCTTCCTACCGCCTCATTCTCCGGGCTCTGTGCCCCTCTGCCCTCCAGCTCCTAGGCTCTGTCCCACCAGGCCCCATACCCTGGGCCTGCACCCCGCCCCCACTAACTGCTGGGCTGTGCACCCCTACTCCCACCCCTAGCACTCCTCCCCTATCTCCTGTCCTCTGCACTCCAGCCCTATGCTCTCCACCCCTACCTCTAGGGTCTCTGCCCCACCGGGCCCCATGCCCTGGCCTCTGCACCCCACCCCCACTATTCCCTGACCTCTGCACCCCTTGCACCCCCAGTTTTGGTCCCCCACTGACCTGGTTTACCAGGCAGGAGCACAACAGGAGCCGTGGGTTCCAGCAAGAGGCTAGTTTGCCTGAACTCAGCCAGCAGCTGGGTCCCTCGGCCCTTTCCCCAGGAGGGCCAAAGGGACAGACCATTCACAAGCGTTCTCCAGCCCCCAGAGCATGCTGTACAGGGAGCTGGGGGGGGGGCAGTGCTGGGGGCCTGCGCTACAGGGAGGGGAGTGGTGCTACCAGGGGATGCTCTTCCTTCACAGTGCTCCAAGCCGACTGTCCCCTCTGTGCCGTCCTCTGGGGGGAGGGGCCCCTTTCCCTGCCCCCAGGATTCCTCCGCTGGGAGGGGAAGCAGCCAGGCACACAGCCTTGTTGTTGTGTAGGGGAGGGGGCTTGTGGATGGGCGGGGACCACCCCCCTGCACTCACGGGCTGTGGGAAGCAGAGTGAAGGGGCTGGGAACTTCTACAGGTGTTAGAAGGAGAAGGGAAAAAACTGTTCTCCTCGGCCTCTGGGGATAGGACAAGGAACAATGGGCTTAAGTGCAGCCTGGGAGGTTCCTGGCTGTCTGGGGGGTGAAACACTGGAATAAATTCTGCTAGAGAAGGAAGTGGAGCCGGCTGCAGAGATAATGAGCTCAAGTAATAGAGGAAGCAGGGCCAGAGCCATGGGCCCCAGGACAGAGTCACGGGGTGGGGAGCTGCCCCCTGCCCCATCCCCTGTTTTAACCACCTGACACCAGTTCCTGTCCTGTGCTGGGGGGAGACCCTAGAAGCCCCGCCTTGGCCTCCCAAGGGTGGCAGCTTGCAGAAATGTTGCTGGTTCCTGGAATGTCCAAAATGCCCTGCTGCTGGGCTTGGGGAGGGAGTTTGGGTGCAGGGGGGCTGAGGGGTTGGGGTCAGGGAGGGAAAGTGAGTGCTGGGGGGGTGCAGGTGCTTGGGGGGGAAAGAGGAGTGAAGGGAGGAGGGTGTTGCAAAAATGCCCTGCTGCTGGGCTTGGGGAGGGAGTTTGGGTGCAGGGGGGCTGAGGGGTTGGGGTCAGGGAGGGAATTTGGGTGCTGGGGGGGTGCAGGTGCTTG